AAAAGCTAATTTGAGTTTTGAATTTGGTGAATCAGAAACTTTCAATTGCAATCCCCCTTCAGTATTTATTCATCACATAATCTCCTATTCTGCAACYTTTTGATTTAATTTTTGACCCCCTGTTAATGATGGCTCCAAACGCGATAATAATTAACTCACTAGTCTCTAGGATATAGTTARAGAGTCCAATTTTTCCCTTATAGGCACTGGAAAAAATCGCGTACTTTCAAGGTTGTAAATTTGATGTACAAGTGTCCAAAATRATGTAGATTTGATGTATTTGATTTACATCATTTTAGACACTTACATCGTATTTACTTCAAATTTACAACCTTTTAAAGTGCGCGATTTTTTTTAATGAGGTTTCTTGCGTCGTCTYTTACAGAGTAGACATGCAATTTTTTTTTCAGCACAAAATAGCTCTCTYATTGCTCCAAATATCACTACTGYCCCACTGTCACAAGTCAATAAAAGTTGCTGGTCTAATGTGACGTTTACCTGCCATGTCARTGGAAACCCACTGCCTCAGGTTACCTGGTTCAAGAATGGTGATAAACTACTTAACGTTTCCTCGAATACAATGATASGAGGGGATAATAACGATACCATTATCAGTATACTATACTTACAAAATATCACCAAAGGAGACGAAGGGAACTATTCCTGCTTCGCCATCAACTCAGAGGGCARCGCCACGTCGCTGTCTGCAGGACTAGCTATCATTTGCGGCGGTAAGATAAGTTGTTTGGCCCACGTACATCCAAGAACCTTAGCATTTAAATAAACGASATCCATCTTTTGTCTTGAGCTATTCTGAAAACAACTTTCAATGTCATTTTTACAAAACAARCGAGCGCAAAGATGCTCGGATGCACATAGAGTTGATTGACTGGATTGCACTAACGTGCATAGCATGTATWTTTGATTTTGTTTGGCTTAGATATGTAATGAAATTACTCAGACGTCGAAGTTTCGATCTTCTACCCTAGAGCTTCAGTCATCAGTTCTAACTGTCTACAAGGTTTTTGTTGTTTTTTGTTTGTTTTTGTTTGTTTGTTTTTGTTTTGTTATTTGTTATTGTTTGTTTTTTGTTATTTGTTTTTGTTTTGTTTTGATGCCCTTGTAGATATAAAAGAAACCGATAATTCATTACGTATATCAGCCAAAGAAGAAGAATTTATTGMTAAATCCTGTCTGCAAGTCTTACATATCTCTAAAATTGTTTGTATATAACTTGGATATCTCTCGGATGTCCAACATAGGTGCCAATCAAAATGGTTCGTCATCGTCAAGTCCAGGACGTCAAGGAGGTAGCACTTCCGCTCCTACAGGACAAAGCGGCACAGTGGCAAGTGCAAGTGCAACTACAAATGGCCCCGGAGGACAAACCACCACATCAAGCTCCGGTGCAGAAATCTCCACATCAGGATCAGAAAACCAAGAAGGAAGTACAACATCCAGTTCCACACAAGCTTCTCAAGGAGGATTAAACGCTACATCCGCTTCCTCAGAACAAAGCACCTCACAAAGCTCAGGAGGAGAAAACTCAACATCTGGAGGAGCGAGCCAAGGAGGAAGTACAACAGCTAGTTCCGGGGGAGGAGAAAATTCCACAACTAGTTCCATTGGCTCGGCGACATCCAGTTCCGGAGGGGGAGGTGGAGGGTCGACATCCAGTTCCGGAGGGGGAGGTGGAGGGTCGACATCCAGTTCTGGAGGGGGAGGTGAAGGGTCGACATCCAGTTCTGGAGGGGGAGCAAGTTCGACATCTAGTGGAAGGAGTGAAGAGAAAGGTACCCAGAGAATATTGTTTTAGCCAAGTTAAACTTTAACCAATCCATCTCATATCTTTATATTTCAAAACCGTTCTTCCTTTATAAAATGAATACTTATACATTTTGTGCTCGATGAACTGATTTCTATCAATGCTCTTGTTAATTGAGCATATATTAGTAACTTCGTTTCTTAGAGAAATCATATTTTAAATCATGCCATTGCCGAACTCGCGTGCAATATCTTCAGTCACACAAATGAACGCATTTATGCAAAAATCTCCCTATTTTTTTCAATAATAAAGCGTTGAAATCATACGTATTATTGTCATTTGAAGAAATTGCCGAGGCCCAATTAAAGTGCACTTTCCAGAAGAACTACACCGCAGCACTTTGTGACAATTCAACAAAGGTAAATTCATTACAAGTCGTTATGTCATTTAGATTAAGCCTTAATACACCGCATCATTTATTTATTTATTTATTTATTTATGAGCAATATTTTATCAGGCCACCCAATTCAGCGTAGGCTGGTTTAAATGGGGGCCTGCAAACAATTTACAAGACATATTCAATACATTACATCACATTACATAAAGTCATTACAATTACATATGGAGAAAAAAGGTGAAATAGTGCAAAACTATTGACATCATTGCCTTTATTCAAGAAAAGCCTATGGGTCCTGGGAGAAATATATCTGTTCTTATGTCCCAGGTAGAAGTAAGTCATAATCGTTTGCCACTAGCAAAATTATAATGCATTCAGAAATATTTTTTCTTAAATCATGGAGAGGAATAGGCTCTAGAAAGTTTTCCCGACTTTGCAGGAAGGAAAATCTCGAATATCTCTAATAAAATACTCAAGCACTTTAACGGCCTTAAGAGAGAGAGTTTTTCCTAATTTGAATTAATTCAGGAGAAAATTCGTATAACAACATTAATTCAGAAGAACAGACTTGGTTGGCACCTCTGATTATTTCGAATTTGTAATCTCACCTCACTAAACTCGAGGAATTACTCGATCCGTCAGAAAGCTATTTTTCCCTGCTCTTCTTGCCATTTTATGTTGATTATGCTGATAAAAAAAAGTCCCATCTTTATACAGGAATTCAGGGACTTTAAAGAAGAGATTGACAAACCTGTTTTAAAGACACTTGGTGAAAGGCTTAGTGTTATTAAAGAAAACAGTGGCTTAGTGTCATGCAGTAAAGGAAGTGTCGTAGCMCAGTTTGTTATACACATCGACAAAAAGGCATCGAATTTACCATCAAATACCACTTTGGAGTCTGAAAGTAAGAGTTTATATGCGAACTGTTGTGCATATATTGTAGATTTTTGAATTACCGTAAAATGAGGAAGCAGCCTTAAGACTTATTCAGTGTTTCATTTTTTTAAGGAGAACATTATTACATGTTATCAATTCACACATTGTGCTTCGCAATGTTTTGTAGCAAACTGTACACAGTTGGATTCACTGCAAAGTTTTGAAAATTTTAATGACGTGCAGAGTGTGTCAATAAGAATATATACAACGAAAAACCGTGTGCAATTTGTTTTTTACCACATTTNTATTGCGTGGAAGGTCTGCAGTTGGTGTTGTTAAAAAGGTAAATAGAAAAACTTCTTAATTGTTATGTGTACATATGAAAGTAAATGCAGAAACACTCAAACCAATAAAATGTAAATGAATACTAATAATATTTACAGAAAGTAATGCTAACGACTCCTAAAAAATAACTTTATCTTATGTGTGTCAGTGGTATGGTATCTAGTACTAGCCTACAGCAAGACAACTAATTAAACATACAACATGTAGGGACACTTATATCAGCATAAATGTACTGTACATGTGGTGATTAATTAAAATTATCTTTCCTGTTTTTGATATGTTTATGTTAGGTGAAGGCAAAATTGTTGGAAAAGCGGTTTTGGGTGTTTCCAATAAATATTGCACAGACACATTGGACAGCTGTGGCAAGTACAAATGTATTTTTTAAAACATAGATCAGAAGGAAGATTTCCGTAAAACATAAAAAATATATAGTAAGTCTGGTACATTTCCATGTTGCAGGTTGTAGATTTTCAAGAAAAAGTAATCAAGTACTTTGACTCACAGTTCGGACAAGGGGAAACTGTTTTAAGGCGAATCAGGTAAGTCTGAATTAATGACTTAATAAAAAATATAATATCGTAATACAACTGGGTTGACAAACACACATTTTTACAATTCATGATTTGACTTGCATGAGACATCAATGTAAAAATATGAATAACCAATGTAATTGTCCTTCTAAAGAACTTTCATTGAAGAAGTACATGAGCAGAACATAGATTGGAAAAACTGGAAGAATAAAATACTTAAGGTATGTCAAAATTAGTTTGCAGTTGTGGAACTATGTTCTTTATGTAATAATTATATAAAATATTCGCGTCCAACCTTTATGGACATTTAAAACTGCGAGCTGCAAGCGACGCAAATATTTTATATTGCTTATCAAATTCCAACATAAGGTAAAGCATATTTCAAAAAAAAACTTCAGGATAAAATATCATTTGTAAGAGAAAATTGAAGTTAAAGTCGTATGCAAATCAGGATAAATCTCTTGCTCATATAAAGATGCGGTCACGGCAATGATTTTCCATTGTGTTTACCTTATGAATTATTAATGAATTTGATGAAATCGATTATTATCATTTCTAATTACAYAGGAAGGAGATATACCAAAGCAAAACAACAATTACGACTGTGGCCTTTTCATGCTACAGGTATTAAAATTACATGTTATCCAATGCAATTGCTTGATTTCTTCAAGTCACAAGTACTAAAATTTAACATTGTTTGTTTTGTTGAAGATTTATAAATTTAAGAAAAAAATTATTGGATAATATTACATAATAATTATGCATATTATGTTTTAGAACATCATCTGTGCAGTGGAAGAGAAGTCCCCCTTCAGTTTTTCTGAGGTAAAGACAAAGTCAGCCACTTTTGCATATTTATGTAAATGTGTAAATTCAGTAAGGAGAATGTACCTACTTTTATTAAATGAAATTGGAATATTGATGATAATTACATCATTTAATTATATACAGGAAGATATACCAAAAGCAAGGGAAGCTATACTTGTGGAGCTTTGGAAGCACAAAAAACGGTACTGTGAATACAATTATTTATGCATTCATATCCATTAGAAGGCATCTACTTTTCTAGCAACAGATGCAGTACATTTAATATTAATCTTTTTGCAGCTTAAAGTCCAGAACTCCAGATGTAACAATCCAAACTCCAAAGATCACCAAGCAAGATCCAAATCCAGATGTATCAATCCAAACTCCAAAGATCACCAAGCAAGATCCAAATCCAGATGTATCAATCCAAACTCCAAAGATCACCAAGCAAGATCCAAATCCAGATGTATCAATCCAAACTCCAAAGATCACCAAGCAAGATNAGTGGAGAAAGTCATAATGGAAGCTAATGCCAGTAATAGCCTTGGTGGCATCCCACTATTGGGCGTCCAGGTGACAAAGGTAATGATTTGGCAAAAGTCTTSTTAAAAATCCCCTGAAACATCTTCAAAGATATTATAACCTTTCACATAGTTTGTAGAGGGAAATGGCTAGGAAGCCTTTATTTGTTGTAGGTTTTTGTGCACTTTTTTCCAAGTTTGAYCGTGCATAATCTTTTGTTTAACAATTGTTTTAGCAATACTGGTCACACGATTGTAGATTAGCAGCTAGTAGAATACCAGTCCAATTCCAATTCACTGAAGGACAAGGCTCGGGTCATTCATTGGGACAACCTTTTCCTTACATTAATTTGYGATCATTTTTCGCGGTATTCACTAACTCTTCGGAAAACTGCACATCTCCATATGAAGAAAGGCAATCCTTGTTTCACAATAGCGTTTTTTTTCTAATACAAGGGGCCCAGTGGGCATTAAGCTAGCATTGTAGTGATAAATAAATGAATTGTTTTAAAATATAGCTCACGCAATTAGGGGAAATATATTCAGATGGATGGCTGGCGTTTAAATTAATGTATGTTAAAAAAATGAAACTGTGAGATTCTCCTTCTATAAAAAACCCTTGATGTTCCTTTTTTGTTCACGTATTCTGATATTGTTTTAATCAACTCAGATCACAATAAGGACGGTTCCAGTGACAAATACACAGCCACCAAATGTYCCCAGCGACGATGATGACAGTGGCCTAAAAGGATGGGAAATCGCTTTGATTGTCATATTTGTACTCATTCTCATTGGAATTATTGCATTTGTTGCTTTTATGGTAAGAACAATATTTACGCCAAGGGGACTGGGAAAGGGGGGAAGAGAATGGGGAGGATGAAAATAAAGAATAAATGAAACAAGATTTATTTTGTGTGTGGATTATAAAAGGTGATTTCGAGTTATGGATGAGTGATACGCATGCTTGATATATCATGATACAAGCGTATTGAATGCACAAATGAACCATTTTCACAGATCTTTTACAAGAAAGAATCAGCAGAAAATGCGAAAGAACTGGAAGAGTATCCTCCTGAAGAGGATCACAATTATGCCCAAGTAAACGAGGTATTGTGCAATCTTCTTTACCGTANTAGGTAGCTGTAAACTAATGCACAACTGCACAGCAACGATAACAGTGACACATCATGATGAAAATGATATTGTGGCAGATATTTGTATGACACACTATGGGCACGAATTAGAACTGCAACACCTACGGCTCTCCAAAGAAAAGAGGCAGGAAATCGCAGCCAAAATACAACAGGGAGTCACTAGAGACCACATATTGAATGATGTCAGAGAGAGTGTGACAGGTGACTTTCAGAGACACCACCTCATAGAAAGAAAAGACCTTGACAACATCAGACGATCATATGGTCTCAACAATGTGCAGCGTCACCCTAATGACCAGCAAAGCGTGTTGGCGTGGCTTAGAGAATGGGAAACTTCAGAAGAAATGGAGAATCCCATTCTATACTATAAGCTTCAGGGCATAGAGGCTGAGGATGGCTATGACTTAGCGAAGGAAGACTTTTTCATAGTCATCCAAACGCCTTTTCAAAGAAAAATGCTTCAAGACTTTGGGCACAATGGAGTGTGCATGGATAGTACCCATGGCACAAATGCATATGACTTTATGCTAAACACTGTGATGGTTGTYGATGAATTTGGTCAGGGTTTTCCTGCAGCATTCTGTCTGTCCAACCATGAGGACTTTACTACCTTGGTTTGTTTCTTTCGTGAAATAAAGAAAAATTGTGGTGAAGTCAAAAGTGCTTTTGTGATGACTGATATGGCAGAGCAGTATTACAATGCTTGGGTAGGAGTAATGGGGAACCGACCTACAAAACTACTATGCACTTGGCATGTTGATAAAGCATGGAAGGAAGAACTGAGGAAGAAAGTTGGTGATGTGGCTGTGGAAGGGGAAGTATACAAGATGCTTCGAACAACATTGGAGCAAACAAGTGCCAAACAATTTGAATCATGTTTGCATGAACTTGAAAAGAGACTGTCACTTGGATCAAAGACACAGAAATTTGGTGAATACTTCAAGAAGGAGTGGGTTAAAAAACCTCACCAGTGGGCTTACTGCTACCGTCTTGAGCACAACATCAACACAAATATGTTTGTGGAGGCATTCCACCGYGTGTTCAAGAGAATATACCTTGGTGGCAAAGTCAATAAGCGGGTAGACTGTTGTCTTGTCAACTTGCTGAAATTTATTCGTGATAAGGCGTTTGATCGTCTTATAAAGAAGACAAAGGGGAAGATCACATACAGAATCAACACAATCAGTGACCGCCACAGACGAAGTCTGGAAATTCCCCTCTCTTCCGTAGAAGTCATTGAAGAGAACAAGTGGAGAATAAAATCCTATGACATACAAAAAGTCCATGGAAGCTGCCCTGAGGAAAGGTGCGAGATGGTCTGTTCAGAATGTCAAATATGCACTCATATGTTTGCATGCAACTGTTCAGACTATCTCGTATTAAGTACCATCTGCAAGCACATCCACTTGGTGCAAAGAAGTCTGCAGATATCAAACAACCTTCCCAGTACTTCACCAGATGATGGTGTTACAAATGAACAAGATGATAATGATGAAATTGAATTTCTGAAATCCTGTGTGAAGGTATCTCACTCAAATATTGAAGACTGTAGAGCCAGAATAAAAGAGAAGATGCTTTCCTTGATGACTTCACTTACATCCTCAACAAATGCTGAAGCACTCAAATATCTMGAAAAAAAAATCACAGAGGCCAACAGCATGTTCCTCACACTTAACAGCCAGACAGAAAATCCAAAAGTACTGGAGATTAAGCATGACGAAAAGGCACCAGCAAACAAAAACATGACTTGTCAACGTAGATTTTATTCAACAAAAAAGAAAAGAGACAAATCCAAAGTACGTTATGCAAGACCATCAAACGAAGAAATGAATGACTTCCTTTTATCCTTTGACAACAAACAATGTATTCCACCAGGTAATATGGTTATTAAAAGTAAAGACTGTTTAATGCAGGAATATTTCTTTCATATTATTTTTTCAATTAAAGTAAAAATATGTCTGTAAATAGCAAAACAAATATCTCTTATATTCCTGAATTCTAATTACTAAAAAATGCAAAAGCCTTACTAAAATGTTGGCTTAAAATCAATATTATATATAACAATGAAATTGTTATTTTCACATATTAAATTATATTCATTCACAACTTTCCATACTCAGGTCCAGTGACCACGAACAAAGTATTGGACCAAGGCTTTTCTTTTGTACTACATATACCTTGATGCCTGGTTTCAATGCTTTGTTCATTGTCACTGCACATGAGTATGGAAAGTTGTGAATTATCTAATGTTTATTTTCATAATTACCATTTTTTTGGTTGCAGAAGAAACACGAGTGCTCAAGTGGTTTGTTGACAGTCAAACAATGAGGCAACATCTTAAGGGCATCCCAATATCAAACTTGGCCATTGATGCAGATATGCTACCCACTGATATTCTTGATGCCACAGATGATGAACTGATATCAATCAAACACCACTTTAATCAAGACACTTGGAAACAGCTTTGGGAATCAGGTAAATTTTTATAAAATTTACACAATTGATCATACATGTACATGCATTAATTTATTTATTATAATAATATAAAGCTCTATAAGAGCTACATTTGATAATATGACATTTTTTCTTTCAGTGGAACAACTCAGAAATAGCTGGAGATGCGCATTGTGTGATCAATCAAGACAAACAGACATGATTGAATGCGAAACTTGTGGTGAATGGTATGACTGGTAAGGATATGGAATAGCTTTTTTGATAGCAAACAATAGCAATAATAATAATAAATGCCATAGTAAAACATAAAATCTCTCTTGCTTTTATTTTACAACAGGTATTGTGCAGGCATAAAAAAGGAGCCACATACCTGGAATTGCCAAACATGTCTTCCTGTTAAGCCAGCCAAACGTGCTGCTCTGGAACAATAATATCATAAATAATTTATATAATAAATAAATAATATCATAAATAATTTAAATAATATGATATTATYATTAATATACAATTCATCAGCTACATGTATAACTCACAGATATGTTAAATGCYACTCATCTCAAAGTGTCTTGGAAAATCTGTCATTTATACACCTACTTGTGGACTAACCTTTTCATAAAAAGAGTAATATCTTAATATAGGAGGGAAGACTTAGCTTATAAGTAATACCCCGAGTAAGAACTAGGGAAGCAAACGGCACAGGAATGCAAGAAGGTGCTAATTGCGCATTGTATAATCAATCCATCCCATTGGTTAAAACATGAAAATCTGCTATAATTTCACAAGTTAGCGAATTTTCTAATATTTTATTTAATGTCTGTTTTCGCTTTCATGAAAGCTAGCTTTCTTTAGCTTCAATATTAAGGCAATTCTATGTGGGGAACATTGCGAATTAGAAGCATCTTTTGGCTATTGTTTTGAGTGCTTATGATTGGATAAGAGCTTTTAATACAAAAGAAACTTTGTTTCAAAATAGAGTTTAACAAATGTGTTACCCACAGGTAAATACATAATCAGTGTGAAAACCAAGACATTCGTACATGGGGAACTTGCTATGCCGCAGAACAATAGAGAGTTCCCTAGTTCTTTAGCGCATTGTTACGTAAACTCCATCATACTAACTATGATTCCATAGATCATATCACACCGTGTCAATCAAATTAGAAAAGCGTTCAACCATTAACAACTAATATATCCTGCTGTAGGATAAGTATGATATTCTACTGATTTTATGATCATCAGTAGCATAGTTACAATTTGGCTTTTGAGCATATATAACTGCTTATAAAGTATAGTATTAATTGAGTCTAGACTCATAGGCATCTACTATGCTATGTGGAGATTGCGTCTGGTTAAGTTATACTAATTCCAGCTAGGCCACATGCTACTTGGATGTAAAATTGTAACTTCTATTTGTTTATAGCCTACATTTAAGTTACAYGCAAAAATATTTAAGCAATTCTAAAGTATTTCATATTCCTA